GGACCGTTCCTGGGACCGGAACGATTCCCGGGCCGATTCCCGGGACCGGGACCGTTCCTGGGACCGGAACGATTCCCGGGTCGATTCCCAGGACCAGGACCGTTCCTGGGACCGGAACGATTCCCGGGTCGATTCCCGGGACCAGGACCGTTCCCTTGATGATTCCCGGGACCAGGACCGTTCCCTTGATGATTCCTGGGACCGGGACCGTTCCCATGACGATTCCCAGGACCGGGACCATTCCCGGGACTGGAACGATTCCCGTGCCGATTCCCGGGACCGGGACCATTCCTGGGACCAGGACCATTCCCTAGATGATTCCTGGGACCGGAACGATTCCCGTGCCGATTCCTGTGCCCAGGCCGGTTCCCGTGCCGATTCCCAGGACCGGAACGATTCCCGGGTCGATTCCCGGGACCGGAACGATTCCCGGGACAATTCCCGTGCCCAGAACGATTCCCGGGATTGGGACCGTTCCCATGACGATTCCCAGGACCGGAACGATTCCCGGGACAATTCCCGTGCCCGGGCCGGTTCCCGTGCCAATTCCCGGGATTGGGACCGTTCCCGTGCCGATTCCCAGGACCGGAACGATTCCCGTGCCGATTCCCGTGCCCGTGCCGATTCCCGGGTCGATTCCCGTGCCCAGGACAATTCCCGTGCCCAGGACAATTCCCGTGCCGGTTCCGGTGCCGGTGCCGATTCCCGGGACGCGGCGGCGGCGCTGCGGGCGCGGTTCCTGCGGCTGCTGGGCCGGGCGCGGGGCCGGCGGGCGCGGTTCCGCCTCCGCTCCGGTCTCCGGCTCCGCGCCGACTTCGGCGCCGCCGACCTCCAGAGCGGCCACTTCCAGGTGAGCCCGGCTCCCGCTTTCCCGCTTTTCCCGCTGTGTTCCCAAATTTCCGGCTGTGTTCCCAAATTTCCCGGCTGTATTCCCAAATTTCCCGGCTGTGTTCCCAAATTTCCGGCTGTATTCTCGGTTTCCCGGCTGTATTCCCAAATTTCCCGGCTGTGTTCCCGAATTTCCCGGCTGTGTTCCCGCTTTTCCGGCTGTATTCCCGAATTTCCCGGCTGTGTTCCCGAATTTCCCAGCTGTGTTCCCAAATTTCCCGGCTTTATTCCCGGTTTTCCCGGCTTTATTCCCGGTTTTCCGACTGTATTCCCGAATTTCCCGGCTGTATTCCCAAATTTCCCGGCTGTATTCCTGCTTTTCCGGCTGTATTCCCGGTTTCCCGGCTGTATTCCCAAATTTCCGGCTGTATTCCCGCTTTTCCGGCTGTGTTCCCAAATTTCCGGCTGTATTCCCGAATTTCCTGGCTGTATTCCCGCTTTTCCGGCTGTATTCCCAAATTTCCCGGCTGTATTCCCGAATTTCCCGGCTGTATTCCCGGTTTTCCGGCTGTATTCCCAGTTTTCCCGGCTTTATTCCCGGTTTTCCGGCTGTATTCCCAAATTTCCTGGCTGTATTCCCGCTTTTCCGGCTGTGTTCCCGGTTTTATTCCTGGTTTTCCCGGCTTTATTCCCAAATTCCTGCCCTTCCCGCTTTCCCGGCTGTATTCCCGGTTTTCCCGGCTTTATTCCCGGTTTTCTCCACCTTATCCCCAACTTTCCTGGCTTTATTCCCGAATTTCCCGGCTTTATTCCCGGTTTTCCCCCCTTTTTCCCAGCTGTATTCCCGGTTTTCCCGGCTTTATTCCCGGTTTTCCGGCTGTATTCCCACTTTCCCGGCTGTATTCCCGCTTTTATTCCTGGTTTTCCTGGCTTTATTCCTGGTTTTCCTCCTTTTTTTTTCCTGGCTCTATTCCTGGTTTTCCCCTTTTTTTCCCGTTTTATTCCCGGTTTTCCTCCTGGTTTCTGCCTTTATTCCCAGCTTTATTCCCAATTTTCCCGGCTTTATTCCCAGTTTTTCCCCTTTTTTCTCGCTCTATTCCCCCTTTTTCCTCATTTTCCCCTTT